TGAGACGATGAAGCCGAACGGCGACGGCGGATGTGCCCTGAGCGGGCCCAGCGTGCGGCCAATGATAGTACTTATTATCGCCGTCCCGTAATCGCCCGAATCGTAGAGAACGCAAAACAAAACAAAAACGATGTTAGTGGTGTTTGACATTAGGGATAAGATTTTTAAATTTTGTTTGTGTTTTTAAGGAGCAATACGTAACTGAACGAAGGTTATTAAAAAAAAAAGAAGTATTTCATCAAAGAATACTCCTCGAGTATTTTAAAAATATAGTTCTTGATTATACTTAAAAATTCCAAAAATCATATTATCAATGAATTATTAAAGGATAAAAGATAGTTAAGTATGTTAAATACTCTGTGTATTGTTATATTCATCATTACCCTCATGTTTCTGCATTGCAATCACACAAGAGTTATTCATTACATAATATTAAGATAATATTTTTAAATTTCGTAATGGACATTGTCACAGATTGATAGAAAATCGATAAAATATTTATTTTTAATATTCTGTATCATATACATAATTAATATTTAATACAAGTGATTGTATTTTATTATTTTTATTATATCCTATGAACTATCAAAGACGTTTTATTTAAGGGATAGATGATATGTGGGTTAAATGATTCGCTTTAAATTTTTTTTTTTTTTTATATAAATCTTATAGAAACGTTAAAATAATTCTAGGATCTATGAAATTTATTTAAAAAAATAATATTTTCAATTATTTTATTGAATATGAGCTTGGCTCCAAATACAGTAATATATAAGTAAATAAAACATTAAAGTCACAAATTAGTTAAAGTGAAACGGAAGATTAAGGTAAGAAATATGGTTGAATGTTTGCATCATGTGATGAATTGAATTATTTGAATTGTAATTAGTAATTAGTGAAGGAATAAGAAAAGAGATGGCAGAGCGGATCAGACGTAGAGGAACTCAGAAGTTGACGAGAGAAAGTAAAGAATATATGTTGGTAGAACCATCGATGAGGTCATGTAGGAACTTTAAGTTGATATCACTCTTCTATCGATTAGGTAGGTTAAAATCGGTGTAAGTCACCGATCACAAATCACACAAGTATGTAATAAAGCAATGAAACTGTTTTATATTTATAATTACTTTAAATGTATAATATAAAAGTTTCAAATACAAAACCAATGATTTTAATTTTATGATATTTGAAAAATAAATTTTAAATATTTAATAACCATTCCATATAAGTACATATTTTATAAAAATGATTTATTAGTTTATTACAGTCAAATTAATTTGGATGTGTTTTCAGAATTTTTATTTTCAACCAGGTTAATAATTAAACAAGGCTATTGCTTCTTGCTACAGTTTTTAATTAAATGTTATATGACTGCAGATCACGATAAATTATATAAGAAGTTATCTAATTTAATATTTTTAAATTTATTTTAAGTGGGACACTGAATGTATTTGTCTTACAATGAGGTGGGTTTTGTTTTGTGTATCTGACGTCACCTTTAGGAGCATTAAAAACAATCTACAACTTTAAGGAGTGGTTTTTAGTAGAAAATTGAATCTAGTTGATATTAGGATCTAATAAAACTTTCATTTTAAGTTCCTTTATAGTAGTTAAAATATATCTAAAATATATAATCATGATTTTTTTTATAGACATTTGAACTTTGAAGTATTAAATATTCGAACAAAAACTTTAATGTTTTTTTTAAAGTATTTAAACAATTTTAGTTGTTTTGTTTCAATTCAAAATATATGAAGTCACTTACTTGAAATTTTAACTTATTATAACTATTTAATATGTTATTATTTTTTATTCATGATGAAATTTTTAAAATGTATAATTTTTTATCGCATGAGCCAAATTAAATTATTCTACTGTATGTCAGTATTGCATAAGTTATAAATTGATAATAAAATGTATAAAATAATATTATAGTATATACACGATCTAATTTTAGCAAAAATAGTTGAATCTACCTTATAATAAAAATAAAAATGATTTATTGGTATTAATAAAAATATTTACAGCCTCAACAGGCTAAAGATTCTTGTGCACTTTATTATTGATTACATTTTTTATTTAATTGACGCTATGAGTTAAACATGAAATATTTATTCATTTTATTAGAAATATTATTAAATTGAAGTTTTTGTTAAGATATGATTGTAGTTCGTTCTAAGTTATTAAACAATTTGAAAATAAAATTTACTGGCATGCTATTGTTTACTTTAAACGCTTTTTTTTTTTTATTGAATATTGTTATATATTAGTATAAACATTTAAAGTAGATACATGCAAAGAACAATCCAATCCCAGTTCCTTACTCATATATGAACAAAGTAAAATAAGCTGTAATTACTACATTACCACGTAATCTGGTCCATAATTATTGCTATCTTCGTTTGCACTTTCGAATTCTGAAAACGAAGATGCCGACGGCTGAGATGAACTCCATGGTTGTTTGACTTCTTGTACTTCGCCAGAAACGGGTCCTGTGAACGTGCTCCAAGCGTACGAGGCGGGTATGACTTCGATGGCATACGATCGTCGTAACGTGAACCAACATAATGCAACGATCTTAAAAAAAATTAAATTGGTTTAAAGTACAATTTTAGTCCTTATATTGACACGATTTTAATGACTTACATGTAGAACGACGATCATTTCTGATAACCAATTGTATTTTTCATCAATCCATTTGCAGGTTGATTATGATGTTCTGACAGTAACGAACGTAATCACAATAATAATAACTGCAGTGACATTCGTCCTGTAAGATTATTCGAAGCGTTTCGTAATCTCCCACTTTAGGATCGTCGCCAGTGATGGATGATTTTTTTGCTCCAAATAAACTATTAACCGGCATCACGAATCAACGATTTCGTATCAAAATAATCGTCATTTTCAGTTAAATACCTATATAATAATAATTATTAATCGATTAAAATAAAATTATATTTCAATTTTTATCGTTTTTGAGGAAATAACTCTGTTCGTGCAAATAAATTACTTATACTTGGAACAATCATTACGGCCGCTTATTACATAACTGTAAATAATTATTACTATTTGAATTAAATTTGAAAAATTAATTAATTTTAATATTATACTGTTTAGACTTGAGCAACAATTGCGCAATTGTTTTTGAAATTTTTATGTTAAATACTTATACTTTTAAAATGCATAATTTATTTTAGTTGAACTCAAAAGTTGTTTTGTATAATGGCAGTTTGTTAAAATTGTAGTATAAAAATCTATTATCAAATATCTATTATAATTTTCGTTACAGTCAAAATCTATAATACAGAATTTTCACGGTTCAACGTACATAAATAGCTAAGTTGCTAGGTATGCAATTCTTATTACACGTTTGCATGATAAATTGTGTAGACATATTCGCAAAGGAAAATAAATGATTAATATTATATGAACGTAAAAGTCATGAATAATGTTGAATATATACGTAATATATTAAATTTTATTAATAATTAATAAAATTACAATTTTAGTGTAAGTATGTATTTTATATTTGCTCTATCCATTTTTCAGTGAAAAATTATTTTGATCTTTTTCAATATGCAACTGACAGTCTTGAAATAACTTATAAAAATGTCATAATTTTTATAATGAATAATAATACGACGATATCTCATGTTTTTGATTGACGAGCAATTATTTATACAAGTATTATAAAAACATGTTAAATTTTAACATACAACATATTATTATGCGAGAATATAATATAGCATAGGTTATTATAAATTATAGTGTTACTTTGTATTAGGTATGAAACCTTATTATTTTTTTTTTTACATTTTTTTATATTATTTATTTGATATATACGTCACATGTTCGTGTGTTTGTACCTATTAATGTTTTATTGCAGTTATGTGGAATGTAACTTTCTTCTTGCATACGCTTGCAGAGGTTAAGTATAATTTAACTATGGAAAACCATTAACACAATGTTGTAGAAGTGTATAATATAATATAAGTAATATTATTTTTATTCAATAATATATGCAGAAGTCAGTATAAAGTAACATCATATAATTGGTTATTTGAATGTAATGAGTATTATGATGTGTATTACTATTATTATTACTCATCAACAAATAAATATATAAAAATATGAATTAAATATCAAAAGTATTTACACCGACCATTATATTATAACATTGACGGTGTTTATTCTGTGTTAATTTATTTCAAGTGCAGTTTAAATACCTTAACAACAATACGTACAATATATATATATATGTTTAGTTACCTCCTGTGTAGACTGCAGTAGTTATTTCATTTCAAATAAATATTATATATAATGTTTCTCTTTCCTATTCAATATACAATTCTTTTTTTTTTAAGACTATGAAAAGTCTCTTATTGATAATTAGCCACGGTTACATATATTAAAAATATTCCCAAGGTCGTACGTTTGTTGCATACGAGTCTTAATATCCTTAAAAACTGATCATTTCACCGATTATTAGTCGCACAGTGAACACAATCATAGTTTAAGGTAGAACGGAAAATTTTTTAGTATTTGTATAATACGTATATTCAAGATGAGATCCATCAATATTATAACATAGTTATATTACAGGTATGCGATTTATTATTTTAGCACGGCGCTATACGAAGACGAAACAGCGACTCCGGTGTAATCGATTTGAAAACCGGTAAAACCGTTATCCGTCCTTATAAAGTGCAAATTGTAGTCGCAGTATCTATAAGCTAAGAATTTAGAAGAAAAAAAATTCATCATAATCACAACCGCAGAGCGACACTAGCAGTCAAGCCTCAGCAGAGTAAAAAATGGTTTCACGCATCGGCTACGTTCAAGTGAGAAATGTAATGTTTGTTAAATACTATAACTATATAATCACGTGTTATAATAATATTGTGATCATGTAACTTGCACTGTAGTTTTTTTTTTTTTATTATTATTAATAATTTTTATTATTGATGATTGGGCTGAATTAATTCCGTGTTATGTTTAATATAATACAGACAAGACTCGGTGCGGTAGTTGAGGTATTTGTACTGGTGGCAGTTGTCGGGCTGATCACGCAATCGTTCGCAGACGACACAAAAGTCCACGATAAAAGACAGTTGGAAAACGAATGGGCATCCACGTCGAAAAAAAACCACAAAGTAAATAGAACAATAAAAATAATATAACGAGTCAACGAAACGAATAACTTCTACGCACGATAATATAAGGTATAAGTAATTTTTCGTGTTTTAAATGATTTTTTCGGTCGTGTTTTATAGGGACCAAACACGTACGAATTTAGATACGACGTAGAAAATGCGCCAACAAACAACATCCAATACCGTATGGAAGAACGTCATCCCAACGGGAGCGTTGTGGGAAGTTATGGGCAAGTCCAACCTGATGGTAAAATTAGAGTGGTGTCCTACGTTGCGGACAAAGAAGGTGTCAAGTAAGTAAATACCACTGGTAGTAGAAATTTTTGAAAAATGTTTAAAACGACTTCCATCAGACTTCACTACCGGTTTGTCGCCCGTGAATTTCAAATACAAATAATACGTTTTACATGTTTTAATTTTTGATTTAGGAATTAGTGAGTAAAAACACTTCAGTTACGTGTTACTAGAATTGAAAATCTGTAATTTGTTTTCTAAAAAGTTCTATTTTTTTTGCTGAATTTCATCTGCAATGTACATTTTATTCAAACATTAAAAACAAAAACTGCGCCAATGATCACTACGAGTATAATATCAGTTGTTGTTATTTTGTGGTATAAAACATTATTATGTATTAATAAAAATATTTTTCTTTCCGGGTGATGCATATGGCCAATCATCTATAAAATCTCTACAGCACCGATTCGTTTTGTCCTATTTTTGTTTAAATACCAATGTTGTATAATTATTAACTTAAAAATATTATATTTGTTGTGTCGTTTGATTTTTTTTGGGGCCTGCGTCCGCGTATTTAAAATAAATACGCAAAAGAAATATAAATAATTTTTCATAATTGGTTTTATCTATTCTTCGTACAATATTTTTTTATTCAATATTCTTAGTAAAATGTATATTTCTATCGCATAAAAAACAAAGAGTTTTTCGAAAATAGTCCAAGAGTAGTATTTGTTTTTTGATTCACTGTTTATAAATTATTCGTGAAAACAATAGCAATTCAATCAAACGCAGTGTATATGATAGGAATTTATAAAACTAGTTAGTGAAATGTTTTAGTTATCATTTATTAAGTTTTTGCAATGTTATTAATTTGTTATTACTACAGGATATTCGTATAATTACTTTAATTTATCCGATCTGTTAAAATTATTTTTACTTATTTAAATTACCTCTATATCAACACAATATAGAAAACAATCTTGCCACATATTATTATCATAATGAGTCTTATAACTTTTAAGTTATAGGCCATTTAAGGTAATACTATTATTTCTTAAATCGAAAGTTAAGACATTTATAAATGTATAAGTATTAAATATGACGTCAATTATTCTTATTTTTATTGAATTCCCATTCAACAACAAAAAAACAACTCATATTTTTATATCATTGCACCAGTATAATATAATTTAGTTACTATAACTCTTTCATCAAAATTACAAAATCTTTAATTCAATAATATTTTAAAAGCTATTATTAGTGATAAAAGAAACAAAAATTTCATGTTTTTGGCCATGGCATGAATTAATAAAATTCAATAAACGACAAGGCTTCCCCGAGGGCAAGCAAAACGCGCTTCTATGAATTTCCAAGTTAAAAAATTTCAAAACATATAACAAATTTACAATACTAGTATACTACTTATTCTTTGGTTATATTTTGGATTTAAACCTTGGAATTAAAACGTGCGAGCACGTATCCTTGTAAAAAATATCACATATTGAACTGATTTCTTTGTATATTTCAATTGTGCAATGATCGGCTTATCAAATCCCTTACGAAAATACAGAAATTTGTCCATACTTTGAAAAATATAATATTTGTGTCTTTTGCAATTACCTAAGCTTATAATCCTAAATGATTAAATGATTAATTATTCGTTTATTAACGACGTATAATATAATACCTGTGTTTTTTTAATTACAAAAATATTTTCTAATTTTTATTACTTTGTCATCCGCATAGACCATTATAGCTATTTGTAAAACTATTAACAACCAAAGTAATTAAGTAATTAAGTACATTTTAGAAAAAAAATTTCCAGTACAATTTTTAAAATTCAACACTTATAAAAAAAAATCCTATATTAAAGTTTTATTTGGAACTGTAATTTATAAAAATGTAATATAAACAATACATTTTTGTATGTTATTAAGATTTTTTAAAAAATATTAAAATATGATAATATTTAAACTTAAAAAATAGTAAAAGCTTTACATACTTTAATTCTAAGATTCTATGAATTCAAATTGTAAGCAATGACATTTTGAAATTCATTCAAATTATAAGAATAAGATGGTTATTGGTTATCATTCATTCATATTGTACTATATTTATGATTATTGATTTTTTTGTTCTTGTTTTTTTTTTTATAATTTTGCAAACAATTAATGACTAAATTAATAACTTGGATTCTTGAGTTACTCATTGAATACTAATACATTTATAAAGATCGAGATGAGTAAATTAAAAGTATATGTGTTTTATTATGTTATATTATAATAGCATTAGATATTTAGATATTTCATTCAATTTACTAATTACTATCCTAAGTGAAATATCAAATTTCAATTGAATACATATGTACCAAATTCGATTGATTGTATTCAAGAGCACAGTTTCAATGAAAAAACTGTGTGTGTTAAAGACCCGTATTTTTTCATTAAATCTTATAATTATTATAGATTAAACGATGAATGAATTCACTCTCTAAATTCCTCCTTAAAATATCTGTACTTATATATTCAATAATATTTTTTGTACTATATGCATTAATTTATTAATATAAAATATGAATTAATTAACCAAAACTGGATGTGCTAATTACACAAATGCTCCCATAAAATTGTACCTATTATTATATTGCTTCGCTATATCGTAGTTTTCTTTTTCTTAGTATATAGGTATTCACAAAATAAGAAATAAAAATCTAATTCATTATTTTTGATTTACTTATACATAGTTGTAACTTCTTCATATCGTTTATTTTTTTGAAAAAATGGTAGGGCTAAAATTTTTTATGATTTATAATTAACATTACCTATTTTTATATTTTGCGCTGGATCTTTATTTCTGAATTTTTCAGTATATTTATTTCTGGAAATATTTATCAAGATTAAAGTTACTTTAAATTATATCTGTTCATAATACATGGTAGTTAAGAAAAATTGTTTTGTCGCAGGACTTACGTCAAGGACAATGGCGGTGTCGATCAGTACGTGGCCGAAGGATCTAGCCTAGACCCCGTGCAGCGAGTCACATCGCAGATCATAGAGACGGCTGTGAAGTCACAACCACACAAGTCGCCGTTGTACGACAAGTATCACCGGCCAACGCCTAGTACCGCAGCCGCGGCCGGCCAACGGGTGGACTCAGCACACTCGTATCACCAGCAGAGGACCAACATAGATCCGGCTACATTCCGGCCGGAAGACTCGCCTGGCTTCCAGGAAACCAATCAGCCGTTTGTCGGTGACCAGCTCAAGGACAAGTTGCAGTCGTCTTACGCCGAGTACCAAGTCGCTCCTAATTCTCAGCTGCAACCAACGCCACAGCAACTGGCCCAAAATTCCGCGCCCCTACCGCCCGTGGTCCCATATAGCCTGCAGCAGGGCGCCGTGCCTGCCCAGCAGCCGTCGCACTACGTGCTAAACGTGCCGCCCCTGCCCGCTCTAGCCGACAACTCCCCACTGCCACTGCTGCCTGGCCAACAGCCGCTGCCCATCACACCTGATAGGGGGCCCATCATGATACAACTCCAACAACCGCAGCAGCAGCAGCCACCGGTGCCGCTGTCCAACTATCAGCAACAACAACACTACCAGCAGTATCCACCCGCACATTCGCATCAACAGCAGTTGAGGTTGCCACAGGGCCAACAGCAGTTGCTTCAACCCAGTCAAGTGCAACAATACCAACAGCAGCCGGTGAGGGTACAGCCGCCAGTGCATCTACAACAACAGGTCCAGTTGATGCCGCATCAGCAGCAGGCCGTCCAATATCAGCCGCAACAGGCCAGAGTGGTGCCGCAGCATGCTCTACCGCCTCAAAACATTCAGCAGCAACAGCAACAGCAGCAGCAGCAGATACAGCAGCAGCAGCAGCAGCAACAACTGCAGCTGCAACTGCAACAACAGCAACAACTGCAAAAGATCCCGTACCAGCAATCGGTCATGCAACAGCAGTACCCGCAGCAGGTCAACATACCGGCACGTCCATCGCAGCTGCAGATCAAAGGCAACGTACAGCAGCACCACGCGACGGTACCGATGCAATTCTTTCACCAGCCAAATCCGGCCACCACGATGGAACAGTACCGTCAGCAGTTGCAACTGCAGGCCGCCGAATCGCAGATGTTTCCGGTCTTCGTGTTGCCGCCGACCGATAGGATTTTCGATTTCGGAAGAAAGCGTTTCCGGTTTTAGGGACATTTTCATTTTATATAATATAGCAATAAACGCGTGTACTGTTAAGGTTTGATTTTTTCACACTGATCGTCCTAGTGTGTGTGTATGTACAAACAAATTATTACAAAATATGTTATATATAAATTAAACCTACGTGTATTTGATGAATATAAATTTACATTTTTTGTGACTGTAACGATTGTTGTGAATAAAAATATATCTAAAGACGATGCGACGACACACGGTAATAGCGTTTATCGTTGCCAATCGAGATGTATCAAAATAAAAAATAATAAATTACGTAGACGGAGTGCGTAAAAAATAAAAACAAATTCTTGCCACGATCTCGTGAAGGTTTACAAAATTTAACATCATAACGTCTCTGCGACGGCGTGCATCCCACCCAGCGGTGTCGCGGTCTAATGCATTATAATATTATAATATATTTTAAACGTAGTTTGTAACAAATAGCCTGCACAGTGCACATTCCACAGCGAACACGTCGAAAAAATCGTTCGCGTCCATCCCTGTTGCAGCAGATACTCGCTGAGTCTTTCACTATGCAATTACCTATACTCACCACAATTTAGTACAATATATAGTGCAACGTGCACAGTGTGTGTTATCAATCATTGCGCGATGTGTTGGATTTCCAACGACACAAGGCCGCCGTGCTCAATCACGCCTTATTAAATGTATTTTAGCGGTTTGCACAACCCAGACGCAGTGTGTATATGTAGTCGACGACGTGTATAGCTGTTGTGATTAGCCATGGCGTGCGGCGAATGATCCGTTCACAGTTAAGACGGTAGTTTCGACACGTTTTCTTATCGCTGTTCTCTCTCGTTCGACGGACTTGTCATGCCGAATTTATATTAGGCCGCAATTTGGAAACGCCATGCCCGAATTCAATATTAATGCGCGTTTACACCGCCGCGGCACGTTGATTAACGATGCCGTTAAACAAATCTAACCTAATTAAAATTTGGAACAGTGTTGCACATTATAAATATATTAGCATGTATATATTGTATATGTGTAATGTGTGTGTGTGTATGTGAGTAGGCAGTACAAATTGATGCATATTTATTTGTATTTAGTTTTTATTTCTTCGATCGTATTATAATATATACTTATCATTTACCAGGTATATTGTAAGCCTATATAGCCAACTACTAACCTAGAGTGTCTGGCTGTTTCTGTCTTTTTCCCGTCCGTTTAGACCGTTTAGTTAAAACTCGTTTCCGTGGTAAAGCTTTAGTCGTCTTTACGAACAGTCACAATATTAAATATTATACACTCAAACTGTACGTCTAGACTCCGTACCATGTTACTGTAGGGATTAAATGTATCTTTTCAGTAAATCTTGTTTTTCTGCTGCATAGATCTTTGTTTTAGTGTTTTTAATATTTTGTTTTAAAATACTGTTAATTTAGTTAAATATTTCACGAATCATTTTAATGTTATATATTTACAGTATTTGGACTTTAAAGGTGTACTATACAATTTATTTAAAGCTACTTTTTGTATGAGATCAAACTTTTATATAAAAATTAATTTCGTTCTTAGGGATACAATAGTTAAATATTTCATGTATCTAGGTACTGTATTTAAAAGTAAAAAAATAAATATTTTTTAGTTATTAATTATAATTTTATATATTTTTCCAAAATCCTTTATTTATGTTTTCCTACTTAGTACAATAAAAAAATTATTACAAATTTAGGTGTTATTATAAAAATAAATAATATACATCAAATGTCCATTAAACTACATAAGATTTTAAAATCTATTTTTTTTTTTTTTTGAATAGCTAATATCAAACTAAAACTGTATTCAACGTGTCTTTGGCGAATTTATTCAGATGGACGAACTTTCAAATTACTCAATAACACGTTAAATTAATTATTATCCACCCAAATTAAAAGTCCTAAAACATAAAAAAAAATTTTAATCAAAACCAATTTCATATATAATATTTTAAGGCTAACAAAATATAGTGTTATAGATTTTTTACACACTACTTGAATGTGATAAAACGTAAATTTTTTAAGTAATGGTCACCAAAGCATATTGTTCAGTACCTATTAATAACCAAAAAATATTGATATCAATGAATAAAAATTTGGAGTGTTGAAAAGTAAGGAGACGACTATAAGGTTTATTGTATAATTGATATATACTCGTATATGTGTGTGTGTGTGTGTGTGTGTGTGTGTGTGTGTGTGTGTGTGTGTGTGTGTGTGTGTGTGTGTGTATCGTGTGTGATACATCATAGTTAATTAACAATTTTAACAATTGTATATGGTTGAATGGTTATGCTTGTCAGTATGAGTAATAGCCAATAGGTATACATAGTCATTTACTACATTCAATAAATAGTAATTTTTTTTCATTATTGTCAAGAGTTTATACATTTTGTTATTAATTTAAACGATGTTATTGAAAAATAAATGAGAAAATGACAATGTATATTTTTAAAGAAGAAAAATATATGTAGGCCGTTCTATTTTGTCGAAGGCTACTAAATTACAACATAAAGCTCTGTAATTTAAAATGGATCTCTTATAAAAATTATAGTTATTAATTATCATAGAAGAAATATTTAATTACGTATATATTTTACGATTTTCATTAAAAATGTGCTCACCTATTTTATTGACGATAACCAATCGTCAAAACTCAAAATACTTTCTACAGTAATATTGACTTATTAAATGTTTTATATTATATACTTAATGTAAATTGAATCGCATTTTTTTTTAAATATTAAGTCAAAAATAATTTTTGTTTAAAAAAATTTCTTCTTGGTTATGAATTAAATTGAAGCATAATACAATATTGAAATATGCGTATACTATATTGTTTAAAAAAATAATGATGACAAGAATAAGTACTTGATAGTCCGTACATATCTTAACATTAAAAACAAAATAATTAATTATTTTTAATAATTAAATGATGTATTAAAGTTAGTCATAAAAATCTATGCATAGGTATAGAAAATATATTATTTGATCATTGCTTAATCCTAACTATTTAGGTATAGTTGGTATTTCTCCAAATAGTAATTATACATCAAAATGTTTAAATTTATCATTATCACGAATTTAAACAACAAACTATGACAATTATATCATAAATATCAAAACATGATTGAATATTTAAGAACATTATTTTAAAAATTTGTAGTCGTTTGGAAAATCGTACTATAGAGTATAGACACTTAACAGTCGCAAGAAGCAAGTTCATATTTGCATAGGTACCACGGTAAATATTTAAATTTACCATAAAAAATTATAATTGATACATATTTATTACCTGTTGAAATCTACTTGCCAACATTTAATGATTGTTAATATTTTTATTTTGTTCTTTGAGGAACTTATCATAATACATAATATAAATATTATTTTGTGGTTTAACAATCAAATGCCAATACATCGTAATAGTTAATAAACGGTTCGCAATAATGTTACATAAAATATCGGTCAACAACTACTTATCCATGTGGGTATTGAACAAGAAATAAATAACTATCACCTATAATAAACGAGTGCGGTGCATTATTACGACCCTATTCTAAGAATGGTACAAATATATTACGGACGCCGAACAGGGTTGAACATTACTACGACGCGTAATAAAATTTTAGAAACCTCTACGTACAAATCTCTATCACTTACGAAAAAAAAAAAAGTATATAATGACAATAATGAACACATCCTATGGACCGTTTCGACATGTAAACAAAATACTGTGCGTTTATTATACCTAAATATAAATTGATATTGTTGTGCAATGTTTTGGTTTGCAACATGGACCGCGTGAAAAGAAGTGGAAGACTGTGTGGAACGATGCAGTTATATATAGCGTTGGTCGAAGAACGGAATACAATAGATTCTCGCCATCAATCGATCTAGAACGTGTGTACGCAGTTCTTAAGCCGCTTTTCGATCGTCCTCTAGAATACGAACATATCTGAATATAGTGGATACTCGCTTTTTTTCAACGCCAAGAAAAATGTTGTCAAAGGTACAGTGTTAAACCGTGTCCATTTGAGATACATTTATGTTCGTCGATTAAACTTTTTTTTAATATTTTTATATTTTTAATTCTTTTTTTCTCTAAAGGTTATTGTCGGTTCTTGCGTCCTACTGTACGTCAGTCTTACGGTTCAATCGTATCCACAAGGTTACGGTGGCAGCGCTGGACACGACGACGACGAGCACGTGGACTACTATGTGGGTATCTCTAACACCACCCATCTTCCTACCAATATGGGATGATCCAATTAACGTTTCACTCATTATTTGAGAAAACACAAATGTTTTTAAAAATATATATATTTTGAATAATTTTAAGTCATTACAGTATAATATTTTTTTTCTTCATTTTTTAAGCTTTTTACTCTTTTAAACAACAGCATACGTTCATATATTTATGATTTCATATTTATAAGTATAATTTTATTTTGGAGTATTTAGGTTTATCAAAATTAAATTTCGGTTAAGTAATTTGATAGTATTAAGTGTTTAAAATGTAATCAAATAGAGTAGTGGATCAATCATCACTTCACTAGTCTAATCTTTAAACACTTTTAACTCAAAAACTACTCGTCCGAAATTTGATATTTATATGTCGAAATACTCCAAAAAATATTTCGCTTTGAAATAAAAAATGCATATTGTCAATAAAAAATATAAAACTTAAAAATTGATAACAATAAAAAAATATTTTTTTTTAAAAATGTTTTAAAGTATATTAAAAAAAAATATTAATAGTTTTGAAAATAGTGAGTGTCTTACGTTAAATGAATCACTTGGTAAAATATAATAATGTTCATCGCATCTACTCACGGTCGCTCTCGCGTGGAAATCTGTATGAGAGCATATTATTATCAAATTAATTAATTTTTCATTTTCTATTATAAACAACAGACGTTGGACTTACAATATCAATGCATAGAAACGATAAGTTAACGGCAATGTTTGTGTGTGTGTGTGTGTGTGTGTGTATTATTTTCCGCAGGCTCATCCAAAATACTCTTACAAATACGGCGTACAAGACCCACACACCGGCGACTACAAGACCGCGCACGAATACAGAGATGGCGACGTAGTGAAGGGATCGTACAGCGTGCACGATCCTGATGGTACATTGAGGACCGTCGAATACGTGGCTGATAAGGAAAACGGTTTTAACGCGATCGTTCACAAGACCGGTCACTCCAATCATCCAGACCACTACGAACACTATTAAGCACCTGAAGGTTAGATTAGGTACTAATAATTATTACCTATATTAAGATGTCGTATAATCATTTTTATTTATTTTTTCATTTGGGTTCTTCTCTTTATTTTCTCAAAAAATTATCTACGACATTGTATACCTAATCATCTATTTAAGTCTCGCTGCTCGTCGTTAATTTGTGACGATAATTCCATTTTTTCGCTGATGAAACCAGTCACTCGTGTCCGCGTTTAAAAAAGATTATAAACTCTTAAATTTAATTGGCAATAAATCGATTATTTTTTATTTTGTTGTAGTATAAATCGTTATTTGCGTATAATGTAGGCTCGTTTATGGCAGGTATAAAGAATCGATCTTTTTTATTCATTTTAACAATGTCTAGGGTTACAGAATACAATTGCGTCATTATAAATAAATAATGATATACAATTGTAAATGTACCTAAACTTAAATGAAATGTATAACAGGATTGACTACTCTATCCAGTGCATCAGTAATCTATATTAAAATATTTAAAAATATTTTTTTTTTTAAATGGGTTACCAATATAATAGTTTAACATTATAATATTAAATTATTATAAAGCATAACGACGATATATATCAACAACAGCTAAAGTGTCATTAATGGGTGGCTTTTTTAATCATGTTTTTCTTCTGTTTATTTATGTTTATTTTTTTTCCTTGTTACATGGCTCGTATATGCTTATTATGCTAAATTTTACAGATTGCATATTACATTATTTATTTATTTTATTTTTTTTAAATTGAAAAAAAGAAAATAATTGTAATCATAATGTATGATTTACTATTTTTAACGTTTTGCATTTATTAAAATAGTATAGCTATAAATGATTTTCTGCTTATAATCGTAAAGTATAATTGAAAGTCATTACAAAAAACAAGCATCATAGACCAATAATCTGTTATACTATTTTAAATAATTGGTCAACAATTAAAGGTAACCATAACTGTAAGTTAAATATTATTTTTTTAATTTATTGTTGGTACTCCAAGTTAAAATTAATATTAATCAATTATCAAATGATTTGCATTTAAAAATATTTCAAAGTTTCTAACTTTATCTGATGTACAAGACACATTCATTGATTAATATAGTCCAACCCCAAATGCACTTTTCATAAGAGTTTTTGATTCAATGTCTATAATATAGTATACCACCAAGTTTAATTATTAAATAAAGTTACACTAAAATAAAAAATAATTGATGTATTTGTGCATTATACAAAAATTGTACAAATAACATAGTTGATGAATAATATATTCTTTAAGTACATTTTATTTTATTATTAAGTTTAAGAATATATCAGTATAGTATACTAAGATTAAATGTTTAAAAAATAAATTGATTAATCTTTTTCTTAATATTATGGCTATTATACCATAAAAATATTTTAAATATATCATTAATATTTATAAAAAAATATATCAAATAGTTGCACTTAATTATTAATTTTAAAATAAACAACATTAATAGATTTTACTTTCAGATGATGTACTCCACAAGGTAATTATATGGTTTACAACTTCTAATGACTATACTCATTTTCCAATATAAAGGACACAGGAAAACAATTAAATAACAATCTAGTCCTTAATTTTATTTAATTGGCTTGACTTATTTGTCAGTAAAATATTCACACATATTATACTTTTATACATATTATAATCATTACTATTATATTATTTATATTTTTTTTTTTTACATATTTTATATTATAACTTAGAAATAATTACGGTATGTTAAAATACTAATATTGTACACTTTTATTACTGTACAATGCATTCTATAATATACCGTGAGTATAATCTAAAAATAATTCTTGTGTTTTATAATGGCTGATAATATATACCAATATTGTAATTAATATATATATATTTTTATAATTTTATAATTTTATTACCACAAATACATAACACATTTATTTTAAAATATTATTTTTTTTTCTTAACGAATTCATGTGTGACCGTCGTATTGAAAACTAGTTACGTTTATTTTAGAAAATTACTATTGTTATATAAGTAAAACAAATAAATGTTTGAGAAAAATATACTGGCTATATCTAATTGGGTCTTCACGCATGACAGATAAAAACCGGAGACAGATTGGATAAACCAATATTATTGTTATGAAATAATCACATACTTCAACATAATGTTAAAATAAAACCCCGGAAAACGAAACCATGAGGGCAATTATGACACATCATGTGTTATGTGTGATTTTTTTTCCATATTATATTATGAGGTGCCTACCTATATTGAAATGGAATTATTTCATGTCGATACATAATATTTAATATACGTTGCTCGTATAACTAAAATAGACACGTTAATAGCTTATACAATTTATATAATTCAAAAATAATTTTGACACAATTTCAATAATATTACATATAAGTATATAACAATGTTTTAATTTTTTTTATTATTATTATTAAAGTAGAAAATTACAAGGTTTACTACATCGAATGTACAACAATAAAATAATTTAAAACATGGTGGTGCGAGAGCAATGACATTAAGACAAGGTCCAATAACACTACACTTTAAATATATTAACTTGGGTGTTTTGTAAAAGCATGTTTTTGTTATTATATAGTCTCAATATTTTATGTTGTGTAGACGTGTAGTAATCAAAATTAAATATTACTACGTTTGAAAAACATAAGAGGAGGAAAATATCTATTGGTCACTTCATGCAAAAGGTATAATAATATATTTTACATGGAAATTCATATATATTTATGTTTTTTTACCTTGAGATGGAAAAGAAATTATTTTAAAATGTCTTTACACTTTTTTTTTTTTTACTTTATGATATTCAGCTATCAAAAATAATGACAATTGGAACATGACTATTGACTAGTACACAAAATGCAATATAGCAAAATGAAACAAAATAAATACACCTATAGATTGACTAAATGTTATAACCGCATTAAATTGTTGAATCGAGTTAAACAAAAAGTTAATTTTCCTAAAATATTTCTTAAATTCTTTAATTACCTATCTTTTATAAATTATGTTAGAATATTATTATATTAAAAAAAAAAATAATAATCAATTTAACCATTTTTAATTGTTTATAATAACATAAAGAATATTGTTATTAAAGTTTAAATATGCAGGTAATTTTGTTTAAATTTAAACTTCAATTATTTATAAAAAATAATCATGCATATATTATATTTTTTTTGATTTTTATTCTTGTATAAACTTATGAGGAATATTGTGTTTAAATGTCATACCTTAGCTACAATTATTAAACATTTTATAAATTTGTACTACAAATACTTTTTACATTTTAGTGTTTTTTATGAATATTGAAAAAATTTGAACTTAAAATACATTATAAAAATGTGATTTCAATACTTTTATACGTGTAAAGAAACAACGCACGTGGGATCTTTATTACATTTTCAAGAATTTTGATTATTAAATAGCTCGTTGTCGACAGTTATAGAAAACAATTTACTTATCTATAAATAACTCAAAAAAAAAAAAAAAAAAAAAATGATAATATAAACATTATAAACACTTAGTGAAAAAATTTCTACAGTTACTTGTTTATAAATTATAATAAAATAAATTAAACAATCTTTACTGATATCATATTTACTGTCCAAACGACGATGACACACATTCAATTATTAAAGCAATACATTCATCGATCTGCTCAGAATTTAAAATTGTTATCAGTGGGTCAAATTTGGTTACGTTATAGGCATATATTATTATCATAGAACCCTCGATTTTATATTATACGAATAACGCCTGATTAATTTTTATCAACGACTCGATACACGCAAAGGGAGCATACAAGAGCCAAGAGTGCGGTAGCGGCGGTATTTCTTAACGACAGCATATCAGCCGGCGCGAATGACGCGTTATAGACGTTATTCTAGCTTGTCCTTGATTCTAAATGGACTGTAACCACGTCCCGTCGCGCTCGTTGATTATCCGTTGACAGTAGATGTTGGTCTTCGTAGAATCGCACATTTGCTGACCGGGGTTGGCTCTTCGCACTCAATTTACCTATAGGTTTGACTTCGCATGTCACGTCGGTGGTGCTCCGCGTAGCGTTTGGAAAAACATAACCTACCATACGGAGACGCCGGGGGCAGTGCGTTGAGGAAAATACCCCAACTCCATGCGGAGAGATCCCTTTGACCGTGGGAAAAGCCCCGCGTCACATGGGGGGGGGGGGTTGTCGCTACTGTCGCCGATGCGATCGTTATTGCATTCGCGGCAGAATCTTGACGTCGCGCCAAAACGCCATGTGCCGTCTACCGTCGTCATCGCGGTTTATTATACCTAACGACCGACATGAGTTACCGAGTAAAACTTCTTGGGCCGCTCGAAATATAGATCGGTTATGAGTTTTAAGGTATACACCTGATAACAATAAATCGGTATAAACATTAGTATAGAAAAAATGTAATTGAATCGAGTTATTACGGTAGTGTAGCTGTAATCAAACGCTAGAAATCCTAAAATTCGGTAGGCCGCCGACACCTCGCCAGTCCGACGTTGGCTGTGCCTACGGTGATACCCGATTGAGCACGGTCGTTATTGGCCGACCTTTTAGACGACACGATTGAGCACGATAAAAAAAGAAAATATTGTGTACAACGTTGTCAGATTTTCACTAGTATCTACGTATGTTGTGTAGATATTACCAATAGGTAATTACTAGGACAGAAGACTTGTAGCTCTAAAAAATCACCTGATATGCACTTAAATATACAAAATATGCATTTTAAAATGAATATTTTTGTAGGGTGTCAGTTAAAATCGCGAAATATTTTAACAACGAAAACACTAATAGCGAAAAGTAAAAATTATATTACTTTTATTTTATAAACCATAGGTATAAATTAAAACTATCATCTCTGCAGTAATATAAAATAAATTCAAGTTCATTAAAAAAAATTAAATATAAAACAATACAGATCGGGCAACGGACGACACAGTAATGGTTAAGTTCAATCGATTCACGTACACTTCCCCGTCAGACGTTTCCCCGTACCTACTTCCCCGTAAGACATTTCCCCGTCCAATATGTTTCCCCATAAGACATTTCCCTATCCAATACGAAGTAACTTTCTGTCATGCCGGTGACTTCGACATCACCAAAATATTGTCCGATATAGTGGCCATTGACTCTATATTAGGCGAAGTAGGGCTAGATATCTTGTACGTAATCTTTACGGCCTTATCAGTTATCATAAACCAACTGACGTACATCTGTAATAATATTATGTGATTAAAATCCAATAAAGGATTTTTACTAATAAACATTTACATTCAAATGTATCTTATTTTTTAATAATAATATTCTATGATACAAAATGGCAACGTCGCACCTATTTTCGTGCTCAATCGTGTTGTTTTTGGAGTTTTTTTGGATTCCTATTGTTTGATTCCAACCATGCTCAATCGGGTTGTAAAAAAGGTCAATCGTGCTCAGTCGGGTTCCAGCCGTGCCATATAGCGCATGTCACCGATCAGATCGGCAAAGAAAACGTCACATAATAGATAAATTATTGTGCTAGTGTGCAACCACACAAAGAATTGAAAAACGGCGAGATGCAGCGTGGCGCATGGTTTCACACGTGAAAAACACACTTCGGGTGCCGATAATGGAATTTAGCGGTCACGTTATAACGGAAACATTTCCGCAGCATTGCTGGACATTTATGTCGGCGTTTGCCGACGATTTCAGTACGGCACACTTATAAAATATGTATATATCGCATCCATATGGCGTAATTGTACGTTTCGCGAAATGTAAACGCTTTTTTATTCACTTCGCTTAATTCCGCTATCCGAACAACATTTCATGAAGTGGATACTACACATAACGGAACTAGTTCCGTCATAATATGGACAAACACTTAGTGTAACAATATATTTTATAATTATATTTTTTATTATTTTGAACATGGTAGGTATAGATTTATAAATATTGATTATGAATATAACAATGAATTAATAATTATGAAAATTATTAATTATTAATATAATGAAATATGAAAATCATGAATTTTGAACTATTTATGTTTATTATTGGTTTAAACATAGAATAGAATTATTGTGATATTATTGAATTTTAAACTGGCCTTAAACAAGCACATTTTTATTTTACATTTACTTTTAAAATAGCAATTAAAAAAAAGGTGTCCTCTCGTTAATGAAAAAAACAGTTTGTTTTAATAATTCTTAACTTCATATTTTATTTGCTTTAATTTGATAAAATTCAAAGAAACCGTTGCTGCACCATATCAACCTTTAATAATTCTATTTTTAGTTTCCATTTGATTAATATTATTTTTTTAATCAACCTCTACTCCAATGATGTTCGCTGGATCCTATGGACCTCTATCCACCTTGAGAACTGGAACGATCACTCAGTCTCTAACTTTAAATGTAGATAGTTAAACGCTTCCATTTAGTTGAAATGATCGTGTAATTTTATTATGAACAAACAACTAAGACTCAAGGTAATTAACAAGTAACAACAGTAGTCTGTAAGATAGGTAACAAAATAATTTCTGTACTGGAAATACAAACACGAGTTGGCCAGTTATTCGATAAGTACAGGTAAACGTTAAGAAACGTACGGTCGCGGTGATAATTTTAAATTATATCAGTTAATCGTTATAAAAATACTA